TCCTTGAGTGGGCCAACCCTTTCTCTAGTCACCCTCTTGCTCCTTATGTACGAATAAAAGGCTTTGGGATTTTCCTTAACCCTGTTTGCTAAAGATATTTCATGACCCCTTTTAGCCCCCTTAATTCCTCGTTTCAGATTGGTCCTACTTTCCCGATATTCTTGCAAAGCTTCGTCTGTTTTCAGTTGCCTAGACCTTATGTATGCTTCCTTTTTCATCTTTGTTCGTCTCACAATTTCACCTGTCATCCATGGTTCCCTAATCTTGCCCTTTTTATCCCTCATTTTCACAGGGACATGTCTGTCCTGCACTCTAATCAACTCTCTTTAAAAGCCTCCCACATATCAAATGTGGATTTACCCTCAAACAGCTGCTCCCAATCCATATTCCCCAGCTCCTGCCGAATTTTGCTGTAGTTGGCCTTTCCCCAATTTAGCACTCTTCCTTTAGGACTACTCTCGTCTTTGTCCATGAGTATTCTAAAACTTACGGAATTGTGATCGCTATTCCCAAAGTAGTCCCCTACTGAAACTTCAACCACCTGGCCGGGCTCATTCCCCAACACCAGGTCCAGTATGGCCCCTTCCCGAGTTGAACTATTTACATACTGCTCTAGAAAACCCTCCTGGATGCTTCTTACAAATTCTGCTCCATCTAAACCCCTAACACTCAGTGAATCCCAGTCAATGTTGGGAAAATTAAAATCTCCCATCACCACCACACTGTTGCTCCTACATCTTTCCATAATCTGTCTACATATTTGTACCTCTATCTCACGCTCGCTGTTGGGAGGCCTGTAGTACAGCCCCAACATTGTTACCACACCCTTCCTATTTCTGAGCTCTGCCCATATTGCCTCACTGCTCGAGTCCTCCATAGTGCCCTCCTTCAGCACAGCTGTATCCTCTTTGACCAGAAATGCAACTCCTCCACCCCTTTTACCTCCCTCTCTATCCTGCCTGAAGCATCTATATCCTGGGATATTTAGTTGCCAATCTTGCCCTTCCCTTAACCAAGTATCAGTAATAGCAATAACGTCATACTCCCAGGTACTAATCCAAGCCCTAAGTTCATCTGCCTTACTTACTACACTTCTCGCATTAAAACAAATGCACCTCAGACCACCTGTCCCTTTGCGTTCATCATCTGCTCTCTGCCTACTCTTCCCCTTAGTCACACTGACTTCATTATCTAGTTCCTTACAGGCTTTAGTTACTCCCTCCTTACTGTCCACTTACCTCCTCATTTGGTTCCCATCCCCCTGCCACATTAGTTTAAATCCTCCCCAACAGTGTTAGCAAGAGCACCCCCTAGGACATTGGTTCCAGTCCTGCCCAGGTGTAGACCGTCCAATTTGTAATAATCCCACCTCCCCCAGAACCAGTCCCAATATCCCAAAAATCTGAACCCCTCCCTCCTGCACCATCTGTCAAGCCACTCATTTATTCTGCCTATTCTTTCATTTCTACTTTGACTAGCACGTAGCACTGGTAGCAATCCTGAGATTACTACTTCTGAGGTCCTACCTTTTAACTTGGCTCCTAACTCCCGAAATTCTGCTTGTAGGACCTCATCCCATTTTTTACCTATATCAGTGGTGCCTATATGCACCATAACAGCTGGCTGTTCACCCTCCCCTTTCAGAATGTCCTGCAGTCGATCTGAGACTTCCCTGACCCGTGCACCTCGGAGGCAACATATCATTCGGGAGCCTCGTTTTCGACCACAGAACCGCCTATCTACTCACCTGATGGTTCAACCAGATTCTACATAAACTACAGAAAGGCCAGTGCAGTAACAAAGGCAGACTCATACTCAGTCCTCATTGGAATTGATAGGCTTGGCTATATCTGATTTCAAACCAAAATAGATTTATTAAAGGGAAACTAGCAGGTTTCTTTTAACTCCCTGAGTTAATTCAGTATCAGCTTTTGGCATGCTAGGTGGTCATTTCCTATGCTGAATGTTGCCATTTTGGGAAAAGGAAATACACCAATTTTCTGCAGTTGGAGGGACCAAGTGGTAGATGGTTTTCCTGACTGTGGCTTTTACCTTGATGTGACACTCAGACCACTTGGAGCAGTTAGAAGGTCTGTTTTGGAAATTAGAGTCAGCTGATTTGGTAATAAATCTGGCCTTTGATGAGTTTGCCAAACTGAGGTAACCGACCTAGGTCATATGGTATGGCAAGGACACATGCTGCCAAGAGATGAGTACAATTTGCCTGTTATTGATAGATTGTGACATGACCAGACATCCACTCATATCCATTGCTGCAGACTGCTTCAAACATAAATTTGAGATTTGTAGGGCAAACCCACTTTTGGACTATGGTTGCGTGAGAGACCATTGTCTGTCACAGTGGACTAGATACCCATCCTTAAAGGTCCATCTCATGAATTTGTCTCCTCAAACCAAACTCGCAGGCAATAAAAGCAGAAATGCTGGAAATACTCAGCAGGTCAGTCAGTGACCTTGCATCAGAGGAATCTTGTAGGAAATGTCTCTTCTGCACAAAATGGCCCTACTTGGCAATTTGCAGATATGTCAGACTGGTGACTTGACAAGGGGTTTCTTGGGCTGGGGCATCTCTTGGATCAGAGCACAAAGAGCTCAATGCTGACACAAGTTTACCTGTAAGCATCCCTTTAATTGACTGAATTTATTATTGTCACATGTACCTAGGTACAGTGAAAAATTTTGTTTTGCATGCAGCACAAGCAGGTCAGAACATACAAAGATCTTGGGAGATTGAACAGAACAAGGAATACAAAGTTATGGTTGCAAAGAAGATGCACAAAAAGCAAGAGCAACATTAGATTTGAAATTTGAGAGATCTGTTTAGAAGTCTAATAACTGTCGGGGAAGAAGCTGCTCTTGAACCTGCCAGTACGTGTGTTTAAGCTTTCGTATCTTCTGCCTGACGGAAGAGGTCGGAAGAAATTATAACCGGAGATTGCAAAATCTACCAAACCAAAAGTTAAGTTTTACATATAAAAGAACATTGTCTTGGAAATGATTTAAATATGAGATGAGAATACAAAAGAGAGAGGCACAAGAATAGAGTCTCACTGAGGACACCATCTTGTAGTGAAGTGACTTACCACTGAATCTGTTGCAATTTTTTCTAAAGCATTTTGATCATTGGAATGCTTCTGATGTATAATTGCTTTGTAGATTTTAATGCATCACCTAAAGTTGTGTTTGGAGCGAATGCTTTGAAATTTAGTGTAGTACTGATCATAAGTCTGGAGCTGGTGGTGACAATTTAAGCAGTCTGAGATAATTAACTAACAGCCCCACAAACCAGTTTGTGATAAATCGATGCAGAGTGTTACTCTTGATTATTAGCCTTCCTGATTATCTGAGGCACCTGTACAGTCAGTGGCACTGCTGGTGCCCTCCACAGTGAAATAGCCTTTTGCTTCACTTTTCTAGGATCAGCTATGGTCCAGGAGCCGTTGGAGAATTATCAGGAATATCAGCACCTTCACAAAAGGAGGTGAGAAAGCTGAAAACTAAATACAGTCCTAATTTTACATACAAAACTTTGCGTGTGTACAGTCACGAAGCTGTCTTTCGTATTAGTGCAGTTGGTAGCACTTACCCATTTGTGTAACACTGTAATTTGGACACCAGTTTCTTGATCTTGATAATCATAGCTGAAGGGTAGGATGTGGATATTGACAAACTGCCCATCTCTATTTACCTTGAAAATGTAATCAAATAGATTTCCTTATTCACAGTTTTTCTTTAAAGCAACTAAGTGGTTTGCCAGACCACTTCATAGGGCATTAAGAGTCAATCTCATGATTTAGACCAAAGTCACCAAGTGCAGAAGTCCAAGTCCACCAATCCTTCCCTGAAGAATATTAGTGAGCAAGCTGGGCTTTTCAGACAATCTGAAATTTTCATGGCCATTTTTTTCTTTGTTTGCTGATTCACAGATTCCTAGATTTACTTAATTCAGTTTCATAACTTGCATTGGTGCTGTCCTGTGGGCTTAGATCATTCTATGGTAGCTGCACTTATGTGGAGGTGGGGTTGTTCAAGGTTTTGCAGTGAATTTTAAATAAGAATGGTGATCATGAATGTTAGTTTTTAATTGTGGGTTTGTGGAAATCACAAGGGTGATGGCAAGTGTGGCTTAGGGTGGGCAGGATGTGGGTGTTGAAGTTTTAGTTCATATGGTATCTTCTAAGAGCTGAAAAAAGTTGACTGAAGGGCATTGAAGATGTCATTTAAAAGTAGCTTATGGCAGGTAATGAGTTGACAGATCTGTAGTTATCTTATTTGTCTCCCTCCCTTGTTCAGCAGTAGAGCCGTTTGTAGTGTTTCTATCCAAAAAAACAATTCCTGTATCCAGAGGGCTTTGAACAATTTTGACTTAAAGCATCTATAGTCTCCTCGCTTATTTCTTTTATTGGCTTATAATGGAAAGCATTGGTCCTGGAGATATCTGCGAAGTCATATTATTTTTTTCTTTGTGCTTTGGAAATATGTTCTTTTCCTCATCATTGAAAGTGAGTACTGAGTATTAACTTAACAAGACGAAAAATCATTGGTTTGAAACATTAATTCTATTTTTCTCTCTGCAGATGCTGCTGAGTTATTCCAGCTTTTGTTTGTTGTCTATTGTAGTGATATCAAAATTACTCCTGATGTTGGGGCATGATTGGGTCTGGATTTGCTGCCAAGTCTGATACCTGAATAAAGGCCACTTGGCAGGCTACAGAGATTTGAATAGTGCCCATTAGAGTTAAATCCTACCAGGTTTGACAGTAGGAAAGAGAGAAATTTGATGAGAGGGAGAGATGTCATTTGTTTCTTGTAATAAAAAAGTATTTCTAAACACGCGCACATCCCTGTCTTTCAGGTAACCACTGCCCGCACAATGGGTACGGTAATTCCACCACCATTGATTCGTGGTGGTCAACAGGGAACCTCAAAACCTGGATCCCAGCAGAACTCTCAAATGGCAATGCCACCGTTAGTGAGAGGAGCACAGGTAAGCAACTGGCTACAAGAATCACTGAGTATTTCTCAAGTTACTGAACGCAGGAGTAGCCACAAAAATACGCAGCTTTGTTTTATTTTGCTTGGGCTTCAGTACAGAAATGAATCTGACATCTGATTTAGGGTGGGTGATGTTGGCAATTGTGATAATTCATGTCCTTTTGTGCAATTTGATCCACCAACAACTAGGATATGGGCCAAACACAGGCAAGTGGGATGAGTTTAGTTTGGGAAATCTGGTTCAGCGTGGACAAGTTAGACCAAAGGCTCTGTTTCCCTGCTGTATTACTCTGACTCTGTGGTCCCAATGAAATTATGAAAAACACATGAAGCAGAGCCAATGTGAATTTTCACAGCAATTTGTAGCAACCCTTGGAATATTTTTTGGTGCTTCAACCAATTAGTAACTGTACTTTGGGGAATTAGTCCTATGCAGTTTGCATACGGCGAGTTGATGAGGGTCAAAATGAACTCTGAAGCTTTTTAAAATGATTGTTATGCCTCCGTCTTATGTGAGGCCAACTTTGATTGGTCCCTCGGTAGCTTGGGTAGTTAACACAAATGGCCAGATTGTTACAGTAGTCCCCCATGTCACTCAGAATATATATATAATTGCCTCTGTGCCCTCTGGCAACATTGGACAAGTGTTAAACACAGCTTTGCTTGTGTTATTCATTCTTGAGAAGATATCTCTAAAATAAAATGTTAATTTCAGTATAAAGGGAGACCATGCAGCAATCAAGCTTGTGTTAGTGTTTCCTCAGTGGAGGTATAATTTCCCCCTCAAAAGCATAAATTGCTGGAAAATTGTTTTTGATTTTATTTCTGATCCAACATTGCAGTTCTTCGGTTTTGTTATCATTCCGTCTCCCTAAACGCAATTTAATCTTAATGTCTGTGGTGTTTAGGCTTGGTTTACTATAGCATAGTACTTCAAAGTGACTATTTTGGAATACCACAATCATGCCTTTGGTGTGACTGAGTGTTAGCACTACGAAGACATCAAATGGCAAAAATTTCTCCCTAAATACCCTGACTTATAAAACATAGTTTAGTCAATTTAGTGACTTTGTATTTGTTTAGTGTTCAGGCAGAAAATCTTACTGCAATACAAAAGTGTAAATTTCTTTTGAATAATCTCACACATGGGGTGCGATGGGGTTGATCTCTTAAGTCATGTGCTCATGGATTGTGAGATGATTTTGTACACCCTGAGCAGAGCTACATTTTTGTCCTGTGATACTATTTTCACTGCACACAGTTATTTGTGACAGGCAATTGCCTTTTATGGTTCTTTAATCTGTAGTTGTGGAATTAATAAAATGTTAATAAATGTACTTGCACATTAAGATTTTAAAATTTTTTTAATATCTTTTGTGGAAATGGGGAAGTATGTGCTGCAAAAACATTGTGCCCCCTTCTCTTTCTGCCTTATCACCCATAGATTTACATCGCTTTGCTCCTGACCCTCAAGTTTTTACTTTGTTTTTGCATGCTTTGCTTACATTCTATCTTTGAAATCTGCTTCATACAGTGAAAATTGTACAATATTGGAGATTTCCATTGATGCAAATTGCTGCTCCAGCTGTGAGCAGATTACCTGTATCTGTACAACTGCACTGTAGTGTGATGTAACGATTAGGAATCCTGAATAACAGTCTTCCTTTTCTTGTTTGCCTTGCTTTCATTTCCCCATCCTGGTCACATCATTTCATCCATTGCTGTTCCCATTCTGTTAGCCAATGTCTGTTTCTCCCCAGCAAATCCACGCCATCAGGCCACATGCCAGCACCGCTCCACCACCCCTGCTCCTGGCCCCACGGGCTTCGGTGCCCAGCTCAGTGCAGATGCAGGGCCAGAGGATTCTTCAGCAGGGACTGATCCGTGTGGCCAATGTCCCCAACACCAGCCTGCTTGTCAACATTCCACAGGTAAGCTGCCGACAGTGGCTGCATCTCAACCTCGTAGATTTCGGGTCGGGCCCAATGTCAAGCAGAGTGAAGTGATGATGGATGATGAGCATCTGGATTTTGAAACTCAGATTTTGAAGGAAGGGAAGGAGGATTGAGAGAATTGAAGGGTTCCATGGCTTTTGAGATCCAGGGACAAAATGAATTAAGTTGGAGATGGGTAGACCTTTTGATTTGAACACCCTGAGCAATCAGACTTGGTAATGATTGTTCAGCCTGATGTAGGAATATTGTGCTCAACAACATTACTGTTGAAATGGAGCAATAACAATTTTGTTTCACCCAATCTTAGCAAAACCCTGACCAAGCTAGGTACAACTAAGGAACATTGCAGAGTAAAGGTCCTTCCCACAAGAATGTTAGTTGCCATTTGGACCCTTGAATTTGCTCAATATTTCTTCCAGGTAATTGGTTATTGTTTGGTTGAAGGCTCCTTTGTAACCACGTTAATCTCACAACCTTCCCTTGTAAATTATGGTACTGTATCACACTCATGTGAAAGTGTTGCATGTAAAAGAGTGTTTTAATAATGCCTTTAAGAAAACAGGTATTTTCTTACAGATATCGGTGAGATGAAGGTGATTATTTCTCACTGCAGAGTCTGTCTATCTTTGGCAGGACCCTGGAGGAAGCACTAGAAGCAGGTTAGCAGAGTTGGTGGGGAGCAAAAGCACAGGAGGATTTTTTTTTATTCGTTTAGGAATATGGACATTGCTGGCTGAGCCAGCATTTATTGCCCATCGATAATTATCCATGAGCAGGAGGTGGCAAACCGCCTTGAAACACTGCAGTCCATTTGGTGTAGGTACACCCATATGCCATTAGAGAGAGAGATTTCCAGGACCCAGTGACACTGAAGGAACAACAATATATTTCCAAGTCAGGATGGTGTGTGGCTTGGCGAAGAGCTTGCAGGTCGTGGTTCCCATGTATCTGCTGCCCTTGTTCTTCCTGATGGTAGTGGTTGTGGGTTTAGAATGTGTCTATGGAGCCTTGACAAATTTCCAAAGAGCGTCTTATCTTAGCGTGTACCTCAGAGTGTAATGGATGCCAGGGCAATAAGTAAATTTTATGAGGAGATAAATTTTGAATTGCTATGGAGAGTGGATAGGAAAGTGGAGTTAAGGCCAAGGTGAGATCAGTCATGATTGTAACGAATGGTAGGGCAGGCTCGAGTGGCTGAATTGCCTACTGTTCCTAGTTCTCAAATGCTTATGTTGAAGATCAGGGATCGCCAATCTTTTTATTAGTGATACCATTTCTGATTAATGGTAAATATCGCAAGCTACTAAAGCACATTTGGGAAATGAATTGATAAGACTACATATTTAATTATTGCAATTGAATTGCAAAATATATATTTAAAACAAAGGAAAGTTGATCTTTATCTTTATTTCAATGTAAAGCATGACACTGCAGGCTGCCCACCAGTGCTGCATAATCTGGTGTGTATCCTGAGAGGGCAACTGATGGAGTCATTCAGACGCTCATTAGGCAAGCTCTAAATTTAGATTAGATGAAGTTCATGTGGGAAACAGGTGATTCTCAAAGACAGGTAGGATCAAATCTGTTTTGCAGATGTTACTGTGCTTTGCAGTTTCTACAGGACTCCAGAAATTTATGGCAGATTCATTTGAAATCGAAGCAAAGCACTGTCATTTTTGAAGGCTGACAATCTCCATTTCCGAAGTGATACATTCAAGGTTAAATAGCATACTGATTTGTTCAGAAGTGTCACCGACATCCACTTCCATGAAGAGTTTTGAAGTAAACACCAGGCAGGGCTCCTGCTCATCATCATTAAATCTGTTGCTGAACTCTTGACCAATGTACTTGTCAATGTCCATGATCCTAACAGCAGCTTTGTTTTCTGTCAGTGTTTGGAGCACAGAAGGAAAACGTTGCATTTTCCTTTTCTTGACTTGCTGTGCCAGACGTTTCATTTCGACATGAAAGCTTTCACTGCAGTAACCATGTCAGCAATCGTCTTCTGATTCCCTTGTAATTCACAGTTCAAAGAGTTCAATTTTTCGGTCATTTCTGTTAAAAACATCAAATCAAGCAGCCATGCAATGTTTGATAATTGAGTGGTATCTTTGTTCCTTGACTCCATGAAAGCTTTGATTTTCGATAAAAGTGAAATAAATCAGCGCAGTATTTTTCCTGTGCTAAGCCAGTGGCTTTCAGTGTGCAACAAAAGATCGCCATAATCATGGCAGTTCGTCAGATAATGTCTTGAACCTCAGGTGGTGTTTGATCTTTGCAAGAATCGAATTAATAATTACAACAACAGGAGACATAACATGATCAACCCCCATTATCTAGCACAAACTACCTGTTGAATAATACAGTGGGTGTTATACAGCAGGAAAGGAAGGAAATCACTATATATTTTACTCATTGCATTGAAACCGAAATGACACCTGGTCATTGCTGATGTGCAGTCATTTGTCTTTGCCTTCTCCAATGGCTCATGTTTTGTCTTGCATAATAATTATTGACTTCAATGTACATATCAATCCTCTGGTTGTGGATTTCGGAGGCAACAATGTTGAGAATTCCTCTTTAATGGTCAGGCCTTCAAATACGATTCAACCACGGGCAGTTAGGCAGTATCACTTGTGTCTACTGATTTATCATGTGGATAGAAGAGCACTCTAGTCATTCTAGCCTCCTTACTATTGCAGAGTTCCCTGTCTGTCTGGTGACTTAATTTCTCAGGCTTCCAGGACACAGCTTCCTTCATACTCTGGTTCACTTTGTGACCTTCCTTAGGCCGCTGTTGGTGGTGGTGATTGCCCTCAGTTGTCAGCCCTGCTTGTGGCAACAAATGAATCACTTGCCTTGAATCCACTTTGCAATTGGCAGACTGCTCAATTGGCAGATGATGATCTACCTGTCATAAGCAATCAAAATGTTGGCCTCTTCTGTCGTAGGTGGTACACACTGCAGCTAGTGATCATCAGTGATGGTGGGAATGAATGTCTATGGATGTGGTTAAAGCCAACTGAGTTGCTTTCTTTTGGATGGTGTCAAGCCTCTGGAGTGTTGCTGGAGCTGCAGTCATCCTGGCATGTGAGAAATATTCTGGCACACTCCTGATTTGTTCATTGAACATGGTGGACAGGCCTTGGGGGGGTGAGTAGATCAGTTACTCATCGTAGGATTCCTAGCTGCTTACCTGCTTTTATAGCCACAGTATTTATGTGGCTAGCAAATTTTATTTCATTTCATGGTCAGTTATAAGGCCCCCCACCCACCCCTGCAACCCCCAAAAAGGATGTTGATGGTGGGGGATTCAGTGGTGATGATTCAGTGAATATCAAAGGATAATGGTTAGATTCTCTCTTGTTGGAGATGGTTATTGCCTGACACTTGTGTTGCACAAATGTTACTTGCCTCTTGTCAGCGCAAGCCTGAATATTGTCCAGGTCTTGTTGCATTTAAGGGCTGACTGTATCAGTACCTGAGGAGTCATGAATGGATCAGAGCGTTCTTCTGGCCACCACTCAACCACTCATTTTTGACTTCAATGTACTGGATGGTTACGTTGATCCTGCATTATGGACTCCTTGGAAAGTCTCAGAATCTAGTTTGAGAAACAGTCAGTCTGGACCGTGAAACCATTTATCTGCCCCATCGCCATATCCCTTGATAATTTTACCCATGAGTTTGAAGGCAAGCACATTGCAGATTGAATATAATGTGAATAAGTGTAGGGTTATCCACGTCACTAAAAAGAATGGTGATGCAGTGTATTTCTTAAATGGTGAGGGATAGGAAGTATTGATTTCCCAAAGGACTGTAGAATCATAGAATTCCTACACTATGGAAGCAGGCCATTCTGACCCTCTGAAGAGCATCCCACTCAATACCCATAACCCCACATTTCTCATGGCTAACCCACCTAGCCTGCACATCCCTGGACACTATGGGCAATATAGCATGGCCAGTCCACCTAACCTGTACATTTTTTGACTGGAGGAGGAAACTGGAGCATCCAGAAGAAACCCACGCAGATACGGGGAGAATGTGCAAACTCCACACAGACAGTCACCAAAGGGTGGAATTGACCCTGGGTCCTTCGTGCTGTGAGGTAGCAGTGCTGGCCACCATGCCACCCTGAGATGTCTTAGTTCATGAGTCATTGTGTGCTAACTTGCGGGTACAATAAGCAGTTAGGAAGGCATATGATTTGTCAGCCTTTATTGTAAGTGGAGTTAAATACAAGAATCTCCTCACATGGTGGTAGATCTTTGAAATGCTATACCCTAGAAGGCTGTGGAGGCTCAGTCATTCACTAAGTTCATGACAGAGATAGATTGCTAGATATTAAGGACATCAAGGGACATAGAGATTTCTAAAAGTCATGACAGTCATCGAAAGGGTGAATAGTCAATGTCTTTTCCCCAGGGGAGGAGAGGCCAGAGCTAGACAGCACAAGTTTAAGGTGAGAGAGGAAAGATTTAAGAGGGACCTAATGGCCAACCTTTTCACGCTGAGGGTGATGCAGGTATGGATTGAGCTGTCAGAGGACGTGGTGGAGGCTAGTATGATTACAACATCTAAAGGCATCTGGGTGGGAACATGAATAGATAGAGTTCAGAGGGCTAAATGCTGGCAAAGGGGCTAGATTAATTTAGGATATCTGGTCGACACAGATGAGTTGGACCAAAGGGTCTATTTGCATGTTATTTCCATTTGACTCTGACAATAAATGGAAAGAGTGCAGGAAAGTGACATTAAAGTAGATGATCATCTATGGTTTACTTGAATGGTAGAGCATATTTGAGGGCCAAAATAACCTAGTTCACATATTTCTTATGTTTCATCCCTCCTGCCTCTCCTTGAGAACAGCAATGCCAGTTTCATCTGAGTGCCATTTCAGCTTCTTGCGCCAGTATATTTTCCACTTCTTCCAGTCAATTTCAGAAGAAGTCATAGCCAAGACTAATCCTGTTCTTCCCTTGAGTACTTCAGATTGAAAATGTCAGAAGCATGGCTTCTAATCTTCAGTGCAGTTGAAGGAAATAGCACTCATTTGGTCTGTTGTGGTTGAGATCAAATAACTGAGGTCAGGCAGTATTCTCAAATGGTCCTAATGACTCTGTGGTCTCAGGGAGGCCTTTGCCCATTCAGCCACCAAGGGTTCTCTCTGTAATTGACCATTTCTTGTAATTGTTTCTGGAAAACAGGCTGTTTATTGTACAGTGCCCCGTTCACTAGGAAATAGATTGGAATTAACAAGCCCTGCTATTGTGTCTCGCAGCCAAAGATTCAGGCATTGTGATTTGATCGTAAGGTTATTTTCTCTCTTGGTGAGTTTCTCCATTGTATTTTCATTAACTTTGAGTGACCTCAGTCCATGTAATGCGTGATCTAATCCACTGAAGTTTTATAAACTTGTGCACCTATTAGGAATCATTTTAGTAACCTCCTGAGGTTGTTTCCAAGTCATTTGTTGATCACTTAGTGGGAGGAAGGGGAATCACACAAGGTCAGAGTTAACTCTGGTGCCAGGCAATGAGAAACAGCTGTCCTTAGCCCCACTCCTGGAAAATGCAGGTTCAGCAAGCATCAGGGACTTACCATCTGTGATGACCTACTTGTTCGTTGGTTTGTTGAGCAAGGCTTGCACGTGAAAAATAGGAATAACACCAGCTGTAAGTTCCCTTCTAAATCACGCGGCATCACTGCTTGGACATGTATACTGTTCGTTCAACACCACTGGGTCAGGTGCTTTCATAATGAAAACATACATGGTGCAAGTTGGCGGCTTCTCAAGGGCACTCGGGGATAACTATTGGAGTGCTGGTGACACCTCTAATGTTTTTCAGTTGAACACAGTTGATTCATTTCATTGAGTGCTACCTTTTAGAACTTTTTCCATGCCATAAACACACAGTTTCTTAAAGGATACAACTTGTACAGCACATGAACTCAGTGACAGTATGGCCATGTTTGTGAATGAATGCATAAATCTTTAAGTATTTGGGCTTGGTAGCAGAGGGGTTAATGGTGCCTTTAGAACTAGGCTGCAGGAAGAATCCATTTACTTGACAGGAGAAAAGATAATGTTGAGGTGCTTAATGGGGAAAAAAAATTGTCCTTTCTCAATTTTAACTGAGGAGCCTAATCTCTCTCGTTGTTTTGCAGGCATCGAGTACGATGAAAGCCTCAGCGTTGAATTCAACTCAGTCAAATGCCAACACCAATACAGTGTCGTCGGTCATGAATTCCAATGACTCACCAGCCAGTCGGCAGGCAGCCGCCAAGCTTGCTCTCCGAAAGCAGCTGGAAAAGACATTGCTGGAAATCCCACCACCCAAACCACCGGCCCCCGAGCTGAACTTCCTACCCAGTGCTGCAAATAATGAGTTCATCTACTTAGTGGGCCTGGAGGAGGTGGTGCATAATCTTCTAGAAACCCAAGGTAGAGTTATAATTGAAACAAAGACCTGTGGATGCTGGAGATCTGAAACAAAAAACAAATTGCTGGAGAAATTCAGCAGGTCCGGCAGCATCTGTATAGAGAAACAGTTATGGTTTCTAGTCCAGTTCTGAAGTAGGGTCACTGGACTTTTTATTGTTTGGTAGAGTTCTTGTGCGCAATGTTTTGCTTAGGTAGAGCCGTAGAAACCTGGGTTTAGGTTTTTAAAATTGGGGTAATTGATTAAATTGTGGCATTACTCAAGTACTAGATTTGAGATGTTGAACTCCTCAAAGATGTAATATTATGTAGCATGGAGGGAAGCAGTGTTGTAGTGGTCATGTCACCGGACTAGTAATCCAGAACCCCAGGCTAATGTGCTAGAGGTATGGGTTTAAATCCCACCTTGGCAGGGAGTGAAATCTGAATTCCATAAAATCTGGAATGAAAAGCTGGTCTAATGTCAACCTTGTAGCCACTGTCACTTATATTAAAAAAAAAAAAAAAAAATCCCATATGGTTCACTAATGCCCTTTAAGGAAAGAAATCTACCATCCTGTGTGTGTCCAGACCGACAGCAATGTGGTTGACGCTTAACTATTCCCTGGGCAGTCAGAGACAAGCAATAAGTGCTGGCTTAGCCAGCAGTGCCCACACATATGAATGAATATTTATAAAATATTCTTGGAATAATGCAGCAAAATCATCCAACTTGGCTGTGTTAGCTCTTTAACAGGGCTGTCCAGGTGGTGCTGCTGCTTTTCTCTTCATTCATAACACTTGAAACAGACCCTATGGTCCCACTCATCCATGCTGACCAAGTTTCTCAAACTAAACTAGTCCCACTTGTTTGCGTTTGGCCAATATCCTTCTAAACCTTTTCTATTCATGTACCTAACCACCCTCCGTAAAGAAGATGCCCCTCAGGTCCCCTTTCAAGCTTTCTCCTCTCCCCTTAAAAATATGCCCTCTAGTTTGGCAATCCCATACCTTAGGGAAGAGACCTTCGCTATTCACCTAATCTATGCCCTTCATGTTTTGATAAATCTTTATAAGGTCACTCTTCAACAGCCTTCACTCCAGTGAAAAAAGTGCCCAGCCTTTCCTTATAACTCAGACCCTCCAGTCCCAGCACCATCCTTGTAAATCTTTTCTGAACCCTCCCGTTTACTAATGTCCTTCCTATAGTACGGTGACCAGAACTGTACGTGTACTCCAGAAGAAGCCTCACCAATGTCCTGTACAACCTCAACACGGCGTCCCAACTCCTGTACTCAGTGCTCTGAGCAATGAAGGCAAGCATGCTAAATGCCTTTTTAACCATCCTGTCTACCTGTGATGCAACTTTCAAAGAACTATGTACCTCATCCCCAAGGTCTCGCTGGTCAACAGCCCTACCCAAGGCCCTACCATTAACTATGTAAGTCCTACCCTTGTTTGTCTTACCAAAATGCAATATCTTGCATTTGTCCAAATTGCTACTGTTCAACCCATTGGCCCAAATGATCAAGATCCCTTTGTAATCTTAGATAACCTTCTTCACTGTCAACTGTTCCACCAATTTTGGTGTCATCCACAAACTTACTCACAATGCCTCCGAAATTCTCATCCAAATTGTTCATATAAACTCATGTCCCCACAACATTAGTTCTTGTTTCTTAGCTGTTCGGAATAGACCTTTCCTGATATTCAATAAAAATGGATGAAAACAGTCTCAAAGCAATGCACTGGATGTAAGGGAGCAAGCTGTGTTCATTTAGTGTACAGGCTGTGATGTATTTCCTTACATTCATAGGTAAAAGTTCAGTACAGGGATTGACCCAAGAGCCATACGCCTGTTCTCAATGTAAAACTGATTTCACCTGTCGCTGGAGGCAAGGGAAATCTGGCACTATCATGTGTGAGCAATGCGTGACGTCCAACCAAAAGAAGGCATTGAAAGCTGAGCATACCAATCGTCTGAAAGCAGCGTTTGTGAAGGCCCTTCAGCAAGAACAGGTGAGCAATTTGCAAACCTATCCACCTGTACTGAACTCCTGTGTTATACAGTGACTGTACTGAACCCCTCTGTTATACAGTGACAGACCTGTCCCCCCAGTATTGTACTCCAGTGTTACATAGAGACAGACCTGTCCTCACCAGTTCTGTAACCCAGTGTCATACAGTGACAGACCTGTCCACACCACTGTACCCCACTGTTGTACAGTGACAAGCTGGTCCCCACCAGTACTGTACTCCAGTGACCTATACCGCACCCCCATGTTAGACAGGAACAGACCTGTGCCACTCGGTGGTATTGCGCCATTTTATATTTAAGTATTACTTTTTAATTTTTTTCTGTGTGACTGTTGTCATTTACACTCTGTTGTGTGATTGACGTGCTACTGCTTTGGAAGATAAAGGGTTTTTTTAAAAACTTTGAGAGGGGAGAGAATTCAGCCTACCAGTAAATAGCTTGGTTTCCAGGACAGTTGGCTCAGACAGTTGTCTCTCTGAGCCTGGAACATGAGATTCTTCTCCAACAACAATCCAAGTGGCTTTGGAGGAGGATAGAGGTCTAGGGGCCAGAGCCCCCACTGCATGTAGATAGCTGTCTCCATGCTGCATAGCTATGAGGGAAATACTGGCGTAGAAACAAAACACTCCTCTGTTTTACAGGAGATTGAACAACGGATACTGCAACAGACATCATCTACTGTACAGAGCAAGCAGGACTCTGCAGTACAGCACCATACGTTGAAACAGGTATGGAAGACAAGTAAAAGCAAAGTGCTGTGGGTGTTGGAGATCTAAACTAAATGCAAAGTGCTGGAGAAACTTGGCAAGTCTGGCTGTACCCTTGGAGAGAGAAACATAGTTAACCTATTAGTTTAATGCAACTTCTTCAAAACTGTAGCATTCTTAAATTGGACACATTGGACTCAAATTTCACCTGTTGCTTTCACCACATGTACTGCAAGACCTGAGTTTTTCCTGACTTTATTTTGACTATAGAAGACAAGTCTGTCACAAAATTAACTTTTAAAATTAACAAGCACCGAATTGCAAAACTGTCTCCTGGATTAGTTATGGCCATTCCAATTCTGGCTTCTTGCAACAATCTACTTGTGCTCACAGCAAATGAGGCATTTTCCATGGAGGTGTCTACCCACTGTGTGGACTGAAACTGAACACATCATGGATGCAATGAATGTGTTAGCGTGCTGCAGGATTAACAAGTGACACTTTCTCTTCTGCATTCCACATTGGAACAGCGTACTGAATGTCCGCACAACTCCTCTGAATGCTCTGCAAGGTGGAAAAGTGCCTTGCAGACAGGCCACCTATTAAGGTCTGCAGCAGAAATATAAATGTTTTGCAGGATATAATTTATGCAGAGGTAAAATCCAATGAGTGGTGTATTGCTTGACTTTGACCAATTTGTTGCATAGATTTCTGAGCTCAAAGTGACTGAAGTTTTAAATATTTGTGAAGTTCCTTCAACTGTAACCCTGATAGCCAATTGGTGAAGGCAGAAATTAGAGCTGGCCTTTACTTGGAATCAGTTTATTTAGAGTGAAATGTTACAGGTGTATACCTCGTCAAAGAGCCCAGGTCCTGAGAATGTCTCTTTATGTGCTTGAAGAATCAACTCGACTAAATTAACTAATTACTGGTTGGCAGTTCTTAAATAGGTCTCTTTATAAACAGAAGTTAGACCTTTATTCATTAGCATTTAGAAGAATGTGGAGTTATCATGCTGGAGCATACAAGGTTCTGAAGGGGCTTGATAGGGTAGTTGTTGAGCAGATAGTTCCACTAACGAGGAAGTCTTGACTGGGGAGCATAGTTACAGAAGAAGAGGGCATTCTTTTCCTTGCAAAGGAACTCCTCCTCCTGAAGAGTAGTAAATTTCTGGAAGTCTCTAGCCCAGAGATTTGCAGAGGCTGGATCACTGAAGGTATTTAAAGAGGAGATTGTTAGATGGTTGAAATATGAGGCAGTCAAGGAGCTGGCACAAAAGAATAGTTAAAGACTAGGGTAGATCAGCCATGATCTTATACAAGAGCTGACTGGAGCTAAATGGCCTCCTTTTTTAAATGTTTTTACGTGTTCAAGTGATCATCCGATGCCCTTCTCCAGTATACACTTGATTCAAATTTATACAATCAACAACTCAATTCCTGAGTTGTGATTTGGATAGCACGACTGTTTCAACTCTCAGCTTTGATATAGAGCTAAGTGGTTGAAATAAATACCCTGAAGATATTGTAATAAGCTATGCTAATGTGCCTGTTAGAGGTAGCTCTAATATTCACCCCACATTTTCATGTGTATATATATATAAAAATACAATAGTAAGGGTCACAGTACTGATCCTTGTGGCACACCGCAGGACACTGGCTTCCAGTCACTCAAACAGCCTTTTACCACTACCCTGTGTCTCCTATCACTAAGCCAGTTTCTGATCTATCTCTCCAAGTTTCCCTGAATTCATGTGCTCTAACCTTCTCAATCAGTCTGCCATGTGGATCCTTGTCAGAAGCTTTGTTAAAATTTTTATAAACTACATCAACTGAACTTCCCTCATTGATACACTTGTTAGAAATTTTTGAAAATATGATCAAATTTGTTAGGCATGACCTACCTTTGTCAAAACCATGCTGACTATCCCTAATTAACCCATGCCTTTTCACCTGAGGATTAATTTTGTTCCTTCAGAATTTTCTCCAATGGTTTCCCTACCAGTGAGACTAACTGGTCTGTAATTTCCTGTTTCATCTTTACCACCTTTCTTAAAAAGTGGAAGCACATTAGCCGTCCTCCAGTCTTCTAGCACATCCCCTGTGGCCAGAGAGGAGTTGAACTTCACTGACTCACTAACAGGCGGAAAGACTAGATTGTGGGGTGGTGGGAGTCTGGAACTCAATCACTGAAAGCATGGGACAGGCAGAAATGCTCATCACATTTGCAAAGTATTTGCATATGCACTGCAAGTGCTGGATCATACAAGGCAATGGACCGAGAGCTGGAAAGTAGAATTAGGTGGATAGTTCATTTGACAAGCACAGATGGGCCAAATAAATGTCTGTTTTTTTATGTTTCTATGCCTCGCGTGCTGCCTGAAGTCTCCAGTGTTTGATGTCTTGCCCTGTTTGTGCTCAGACCTGAGACGACCTCTGCTGCATGCATGATGAGCAACAGCAGGGGAGATTAAAACTTTTTGAGAAGGAAGTTACCTTTGATAAAACATGAAAACGTCATCAGAACAGGTTTAGGCAATTATTACTGAACTTAAAGAAAAGCAAGCTTTGAACCTTTAAAACTGATTTTTCAAGACTCGAATGATGACTATGAGTCCATTGCCGATTGTCAGATAAACCCACCTGGGTCACTAGCATCCCTCAGAGAAGGAACTGCTGTCTTTACTTGGTGTGGCTTACATGTGACTCCAGACCCACAGCAATGTGGTTGACTGTTAATGGCAATTGGGGATAGGTAATAAATGATGGCCTAGCCAGTTATGTCCACATCCCATGAATGAATAAAAAAAATTAGAGACTTCTTCCCATCCAAGGGTCATGGTTCATTCAGAGGAATTAGATCTTATCTTTCTCAAAAGAAGCAATCCAACTGAATACTCTAAAAGGCTAACAAGAGTTGTAATTTCACTGGGATAAACTATAGCTTGAAGTGAGTAATTGCACTTTCTGTGCAGTGAGCAAAGTATTCTCTTTGAAAGTTAGGACTGATGCACAGCAAGGGGAACTTAACTTTGCATCCAATCCTCCTTGTACTTGACCTAAGAGGATTTTCTCAATGCTGAACCACTGCACAAACATATCTTTAGTTCCAAAGTTCATTATCTTTTGAGTATAGAATCTGTGTCAAGTAAGTGGATAATAATTGAATCTCACGTTTTTTTTTTAAATTTGTAATAAAGTATGATGAATTTAATTTATCCAGAGCTCTGGCCAGCTGTCTCGAGGGCCACAGTCAATTACAACCAACCCCCGAGGAGTGCTGCACACGTTTAGCCAATCGTCTCAACTGCAGAACGCTGCTCTTGTCAGCAGGCAAAATAAGCACACCGAGCGAGCTGGGAGCAAGAGTAACACCACCACCTGGAGGAAGCAGATCGGCAATACAGGTAGAACCACAAGATATTCCATTTGTTTCTCTGTGTCTCGCTGCCAGGCATTCTCAGTCTGCATGTTTACTGTGTGAAACAATCTGACAGGCTTCTACTTTGCTTCAAGCTGAATGCACAGCAGGTAGCATGAACCTATCCTGATTTTCGATGTAACCTGTATGAGGTGGAATGCAACAATTGTTTGCATTTGCAGAGGATCTTCAAAATAGTAAAACCTCCTAAGGGACTTCACAGGAGCACTATTAGCCAGTGTTTGAAACTGAACCACCAACAGCTCAAGGAAAGAAAAATGCCTTACAGGGAACAGAGCATGACAGATATATGGGGAATGAAGGTGCAGTCTCCAATTGGCGAGAGCAAAGAAAGTGGGGGATTGATAAGGCCAGAAATTGGAGGAAGACCCAAAGCTCTTCAAGTGGAGGAGGTTACAGGTGGTGAGGATAGGAAGGGCTATGAACACAAAATTAAATGAGGCTAACGTTGACATGGAAGGAAAAGTTGAGAATGCTGGAAATCAGTTGAAGTCATAGATTTGTAATGCACAGTGAAGCATTAATTAATCATCCAGTCTGACACCTTAGACAGACAGAATCAGCAGCTCTATTTAATCTAATCGTGACAACTTGTTCGAGTTGAATTCCATGCCACATTTGCTTGTGTGTCCCTATAATTTGTTGTCTCTTGCTTCTCCCTCTCTTGTATCCTCTGCTCACTGGTGCTACTCTTTTCTGACCTTAGTATCTTATGAAGTCTCTGTATATATTGTTCCTTCACTGGGTTAATTTATTCTTTTTTGTGGTTTTGCATGTTTTAAATGGTAATTTTAGTGATATGATTTGTTTTTAATGTATTGAGGATGTATGTCCAAGCTGTGTTGTGTTCTGTGGGCTCTACAAAGGGGACAGTTTTCTGTTGCACTTCCCCTACAAGTGAGACTTCCCCAGCTTGACCATAATGCAACTGTGAACCTTGTATTTCTGGGTGCTGTTGACTCAGGCTTGTAGCATGAGTTGTATGAGGGGAATGGGTGTGGCAAAGAGCAGCTTGCTGTGGTACTGTACTTCAAAAGGCCTGTGTGCTGTGTAAATCCTGAGTGAAACATTGCTGTGGGGAGGTCGTCAAACATAACCAAATGTTCTTTCGAAACAATCCTGCTTTACCCAATTTGGATTAAAATTAAATTTAACAAGATTCCCAGCAAGTTGCTTTACAGATCCTCCAATCTGTAACATTGCAACTCCCAGCATTTATTCCCTCACCCAGGTCTGAGAAATGATACAGGAAGTATCATTGTGTCGTAGCTGTTTCACGCATTTTAATTTATTCCATCTGGTGCAGGCAGCTGCTTCATATTCTAATCTCAAATGCTTCAGAAAATGTACTTTGAGTACCGGATAGAGTTGAGTTTGAACTTTAAGACACCTAAAAGAGCAAAAGAATTTGTAATGGTCAAGACTGTTAGTTGACGGGGAGGCAAGGTGATGATGGAGTGGGAATTGATAACTCCAGCCAATGTGCCAGCTTCCAGTCAGATATAAATAAGTTGGCATTGGTTCATCAGATTCTGTTAATAATTCTGAGGATACTGTTTCTTTTGGTGCAGTGGATAAGTCTTGCCAATTTCAATTTCAGGGGTTACAATGGCATACGCTAGCCCGAATCTTTCGATGCACAAGACAACTTCAGCTGTGGAACGTCAGCGCGAGTACCTGCTGGACATGATCCCTTCACGATCTATCAGCCAGTCAGCCACCACATGGAAATAAATTGGGATGGGGTGGGGGGGGAGGGAGAGGGAGGGAGGGAAATAGCTCCGAGAGACAACCGCCAAAACCTTGCACCCCTCTTTACTGTTAACATACAGTCCAACAAAGGTGTGGGGCCAACGTCAACCTAGCAACCCTGCCATTTTCCCATAGCTCTGTTCAGATGAAATCTGGATTTCTTTACCTTTTGGACACTTCTTACACAATGTATAAGGAAAGTTACAACATGTGACTATTAGGAATGATTATTCATTTTGTTGGATTATAATGAAAATTGTGTGGGGAAATGAGAATTTTTTTTTACTTGCTGTTTGTGTGTGTGTGTGTGTGTGTGTGTGTGTGTGTGAGAGAGAGTGTGTGTGCGCGTGCGTGAGCACATATGGGAGTGCGTGCCTGTGTGTGTGCCTGTGTGAGTGTGTGCCATTGTTTCTCGCCTTCATAGTATAAAGGACACCACCATAGGTCTCAAGTTCTACAGTAGCAGTATAGTTTTTTTTAGGGGCTTTCTCATTCTCTATCATGTCCGCAAACACAATAACCCTGTCAATCAGCGTGAGGGGTGAAGTTGAGAAGAGGGCTTTTGAGTCAGTTACAGTTGTGACAATTTGGAGCGTTGCATTTTTAGGAACAGAGACTTGAAATGCAATCTGGGCAATGTTGAAGGATCACCAATTCGTGCTGTCCAAAGTATGAGGACTCTCCGATGATATAGATATATATAAATATATATATATTTGTAACTCCCATTCTTCCACTCCTAAAGTGTTCTTGCTTAATTGCTTTTAAGCAAACTCTGATTCTTTGCAGATTCCAATGACCCTCTGCACCTTGCCCACTTGCAACCCAAGCTTTAAACGACGGTTTCCTTTTACAGCAAAAATTCAAATTTGACTGAGAGAAGTAAATGATTATGTGCAATGATGCTGGTGATTTCCAGTGTGTGTGTTTCCTAGCTGCCCTACAACTCACTTTGCATCAGTAGTATGAGTAAACAAGTAACTCCTTCTGCCCTTTCACAAATCCCAACAAACGCACATTGAACATAACTCAGTTTGCAAGCAGCCTACTTAACACTGGGAATAGACGGGTAACCTAAAACACAGGTCATTTTCTGTTGCTTTGAGTGGAGAAATTATTTTGACAAGGGTTTTGTGTTTTTTTTTGGAAGTTCAATATGAAGTTACTCACTGGTGAGCAAGCTACCCTTGGATGCCATTTCCATTCTAGTCAAGGATATGACCTGAGCACTGATATTCCTCCACTTTGCTGAAGAGATTTCAGGAGGGGAGGTCAATTTTTCTGCCCTCTTGCTCCCCCACCACCTCCATTGTGGCCCTGCTATTGTTTGAAAACCTTCGCATGGGGTAATTAATCAATTACTCCAATTAGTATCATCCTTATGGCAGGTCTAGCTCCTATGCTCCCGATGCTGGATTTTATTATGTGCCTGGATCTTTGGTCCGTAATCATTTGAGAGGCAGGGATAGATCGTACACTGAACTTCACTAGAGGAGGAGGCTCTTGCAGTTTCTGCCAGTCTATTTGAGACAGCTGCCCTTGCCTGAATGCTGCAGTGCTCTAGTTGAAGATAAGCCATGCGTTTACATTTGGACAGTGGCAGGGAGACAGAGGTGGGCCGAGGCTATATTTGATCATGGGCACTTGCTGCTTAAAGCCAGAGCTGGGAAGAGACTGTGTGATATAGATGTGATTTTAAAAACACGAACATCCGCAATGTTAAACTGTGACCAAGCAACTACGCACTCTGTTTTGAGCTGCAAGAAACTGGAATTGACAAAATGTTATTTTAACTCGCTTCGCTTCCAGTGCAAATAATTTCCTTTGATGTTTAGGGAGATTTTTATTTTCCCTCATTTTTTTTGTTGTCCAATTAGTCATTTGAAAGCCATTAAAAAGATTTTGCCGGTTGTCCCTATTTTTCTCCTATAAATCTTAAGGGCTCTCTTTATTGAACAAGAAATTTAATATCACCAGAGTAGGGTTAATATTCTTGAGTGGAGTTGCATCATTGCAAAGTGTGGTGTTGTAATTTTCAGAAATCCCAGTATTTGCATCTAATCGGATCCTCGTCATGGAAATGGGTCAAAAGAGGATGTTTCCAATTTGATAATGTGCATAAAGGTAAGAGTTTATGCATATTCAGCTTCTAACCCTAATGAAGTGCTCCCAGGGTCTAATAAGGAACAGCAGAGACCTAGTGAATGCACCACTAATGCCACACAACAGTATTTTCAGGTTCATTCCTCTTTTGATCTCAACAGATGAGAGCACCAAGAAGTAAGTGGAAGTGATTCCCTCTGCCTTTCTATCTGTTAAATTAGGAAAAAGTTTACCAAAGTTTATGCTGCTGCTGATCATCGTGACTCAGATTGGGAAGACCATTTGCGTGTATGGAAAAGAATAGTGGGGTTTCTGTGGACCCAGGTCATAATGAAAGGGGCAATGAGGAGGCTTTCACACACTGGTCACTGCTCCAGATTGTCTCCTGTATACTGGTTCTGTGTTACTAGCAAAATGTTTTTTCCCTTTTTTGTAGACAAAACACTTGCCTGGATATTTTGTACCAATGTCTTTCAGTATGTTTTTCTTTAGTTTGGAATGGCGGGGTTCTGCTGGGAAGGCGGGTGGGTCACTGGCAAGTTAATCCATTTTGTAATATATTGGGTGGAGCTGAATAATTGAAAGTTCTCTCGGAGACTCAGGTTCTCTGTTGCAATGTACATAACTGAAGTTTTTTTTTGTTGCAGAAGTTTGAATTTGTTGCGATCTTTATTGGATCTTTACGCGGTTTGACGTTCACTATTCAGGCGGGATTGTAGACTTAGAGTCGGAGCAGAAAATGGCCCCAACTCTAATCCACCTGGAGATTGGGTTAGACCGTGTGATGGCGCTTTTTTTAATTGTCCCCAACTCTCTCTCCCTCTTCAGTCCTCACTGCCCAGCATGCTTTCTAGGTAGAGTTGAGCTTTGCTGACTCTGCTCATAACCCATTAAACCAGTAGAAGAGGCACTTCTGTCCTTGAGTTGGTTCCATTGTCCTCACTCCACTTCCTCCCCTAGCTGTTTACATATTGAAGTTGGTTGCATCCTACTTGTTTTGGAGAGCCAAGTCCAACGCATTACGTCTATATTATGCTTTACAAATGGCGAACTGTGCCCTATGCCTTTTGCGCTTTCTCGCTTTCTCTATCGCTCTCTCTATCGTGCTTCCTTTCTCGCTCTCTTGCTCATGCTTTCTCGCTCTCTGTCTCTGATGAGTAATCCCTTAAATCTAGGATTGAGGATAGAAGGCAAAAATGTGCTTCATGATGGAGTGGCTTGATAACTTCAACTTGTCCACCATCCCATATTGGGAACCCCCCTCTTCCTGCTCCTCTTTCCCCCTCTCTGGGAAAGAAAGGGAAGGAGATGCAGGTGCAAGGCTGTGATGTCTGGAACCTGGGTTCAAACTGAACCCAATTTGGGATGGAAGTTGTCTCTTGTCCACTGGCTCTTATGTTAGTTTGGGGGCATGCTCAATCATTGTAGTTCCCTGTGGGAATAGGCCCCCACACACGCGCATGCGCACACACACACACACACACACACACACACACACACACACACACACATATATATACACATACACATACACATACACACACGCGTGCGCGCACACACATACACACACACATATATATACACATACACATACACATACACATGCGCGCACACACACACACAGTACAATGTGTTTGGACCTACCCCATCTGGTCAGGTAAGGTCATTGTCTTTGTTTTTGGTTTTGTGGGGAGAGGGACAAGTAGCCATGTTTGACAATACTTTTATATTTTGAAGGAAATGTAGATCGTTGTGCCTCTTTCGAACGATCAGTAACAAATTGATACCAAATAAAGTGCCCAGCTTCACTGCAAAAGCGTTTGGGTTGCAAGATGATCGGAAACCTACATCAACCATCTTCCTCTTCAGGCCCCATTCCTATTCTCTTTGTCCCTTCCTTCCCAAAAATTAGTTGTCGGAGGAAAGGCGGGGGGAAGCAGGAAAAGAGCAACTGACAGTTAAGTTTCTAGAATGAATGCAAACGTCCCAGAAACCTCAAGCACATATTGTCTGTAAGCAGAAACTGTTTTCACGTGGGAGCAACTGTATACGTGGAAATTACTGCAGATTTTACAGAAAACCTGCTCCATGCTAAAGAACTTTTATCTCCACTTTGCATTGTCAGCAAATTATATTCCAGCTGACTGAAGTCACAAGAATCAATGCAGATGTATTGGTTATCTTCTGGACCTTCCATTTACTGTGACTATAGCCTTTAATAGAAAGAAGTTTCAAAGAAATTGCTCGAGATGCCCAATCCCACTGAAGCTCTGCTGGGCAATTTAAATCCATGCTTGAAATGGATATTGTATATTGTATTGTGAGGGATTTTTAGCATTTGAATGACAAATAAACAGGACAAACAGCATTGTGGCACCACTGTCCCGTCATGGTGTTTGTTTTATTCTTTTTGTACACTTCTACCCTACAATATGAGGATATCAGTGATGAATGAAGACGCTCCCATTTTCAGCACCTGGTGTTAAGCACTCTCAGGTAAGCTCTACTTTGGGTGGAGAAAGTAAAATTCACTCAATAGTGTCCCATCAGAATCTCCTTGTATAGCTAAATGCAGAATAAAACTCCCTTTACACTGGTCCCATCAAATGTTTAGGTACGGAGTGAAATTCATTCTACTTTAATAAGGATTGCTCCAATATCCAACAGGTTTCATGGAGGTTATTAAAAGGTGAAGAGGGCTGTGCAGAGATTTGGGTAAATTCCTGAGTTTTGGACCCAGCCAGCTAACTGGTGGGGTGGAGAATTGTGTGGGATGAGATTGGTGAAAGAGGAGGCCATAAACAAGATGCACATGTTAAAATGTGAGGCCTTGAGGGACAACCAGCCAACACTCAAAGACAGAAGGATAATTCAAACTGTTTGACTCTGAAACTTATGAAGATTTTATCATTGTATTGTATCCACCTCTTGGTGCTAAGCAGTTAGGCCTTTGCAGCCTCATGCAAGCTTATTTGGAAAAATTCCTTGTGATGGTGTGCAGTCTGTACGAAGGCCATTAAATCGAGTCGTGGAGTCATACAGCACAGAAACAGACTCTTCAATCCAACCAGTCCATGCTGACCATAATCCCAAATTAAATTAGTCCCACTTGCCTGCACTTGGCCCATATCTCTATTCATGTACTTATCCAAATGTCTTTTAAATGTTGTAGCTTTACCCTCATCCACCACTTCCTGTGGAAGTTCATTTCACACATGAACCACTCTGTGTAAAAAAAAAAAGTTGCCCCTCATGTCTGTTTTTAATTCTTTCTCCTCTCACCTTAAAAATATGCCCCCAGTCTTGAAATCCCCCACCACAGGGAAAAGACACCTACCATTCACCTTATTTATACTCCTCATGATTTTAAAAATCTCTATTCCAGTCTTTGTCAACACTTGCTCAACCTGTCAAGATTGACACCTATCCAGCAAGGAGGGGGAAAGGCTCAGGTTAAGCAGAAATTAGCAGGTGATTTTTGTTCCAGCTTGACAGCCATGTTCACAAGAACAATTTCAGGTTATTGCCACCTAATGTGTGCAAATTGATTGCCAGATTTTGTTTCTCTTCTTTCATGAAATTAAGGTGTTGCTGGCAAGACCAGCACTTGTCCATCTCAAACTAACCTCAAGAAGGCAGCAGTGAGCTCTAGCTTGCCTCTTTGCAGTCCACCTGACGCGGGTATATCTACAGTATAGAACCATAGAATCCCTACAGTGTGGAAATAAGCCATTCGGCCCAACAGGTCCACACCACCCCTCCGAAGAGCATCCCACCCAGACCCATTCCCCTAACCCCACAGTTCCCATGTCTAACCCACCTAAACTAAACCTCCCTGGGCACCACAGGCAATTTAACATGGCTAATCCACCTGGCCTGCACATCTTTGGACTTTGGGAGGAAACTGGAGCACCTGGAGGAAACCCATGCAGTCACGGGGAGAATGTGCAAACTCCACACAGACAGTCACCTGAGGCTGGAATCAGACCCAGGTCCCTGGTGCTGTGAGGCAGCGGTGCTAACCACTGAGCGACCGTGCTGCCCCAAAACTGTCACCAACCCAGATTGGACTTGAACCCACAATCCCTGGCTTAGGAGGCCAGTCCCTTATGCTTTAGGCCGCTGGGGTCACACCAGTATGTCAGGCAATCTGTCTGGCTTTATTACTTTATGGCATATCTGTAACGTTTTGGTATAACTGAATGCCTGACTAGGCTATTTTTGTTATAGTTAAGCACAGGACGTGGGGTGGGAGTTTGTTGGGACTCGGTAATCAAGGCCAATGTCTTTAGGGTGCTTCTGTGCCCAGCTCAAGTATTGGGCAGGGAGCCTGGGCCAATAGCAATGCTAGGGCGTAAAATTTCTGGCCATGGTCCAGTTTAAGGGGCTGAGAATATGGAGTTACTTACAGGCCAGAGCAAGTAAGGATTGTAGATTTCCTTCCCTGAAGAAACATTTAATGAACCAAACAGGGTTTTACGACAGTCAGTAGTAATCTCCTGGAGCCATTGCTAAGACATTAAATTCCACCAGATACAATGGGATTTGAACCCATTTCACCAGGGCTTTTGCCTCAGTCTCTACCAATAAATAAGGATGGAATTGATGAATGATTAATAGGCTTTAGCTACATATGTCATTAGTTGAACTCAAAAAATGTCTAATCTCAAGTCTCAGTTGTAAACTATTCTAAGCAGTGACTTTAAACTGACTAAAGTAAATTTGTACACATGGTTGCTGCCACTAACCAATTGGCACTTCACAATGTGTTCACTACTGCCCCCAAAGTTATATAGTGACACATCTTTAACTGCAAGTACTGCTTCCCAGAGTTAATGACTGATTTGTATCCCAGTGTTAAGTGACAGACCAGTCACCACCAGCACTGTACCGGTGTTGTACAGTGACAGACCTGTTCCCACGCGTCCTTATACCCATGTTATACAGTGACAGTCCTATCCTTACCAGTATTGTACCCAGTGTTATACAGTGACAAGGACCGAGAGATAGTGAAAGACACATCAAGATGACACATATAGAGATAGGGAGTAGCTGTAGGCTCCCTGAAGCATGCACCAGACGCCTCAAAGCTATTGACTTTATAGATACAGAGTTGGCTGCCTCTTCTCCACATTAAAGGTGTGCTCTTGAAGAAGGGTCACTGGATCCAAAACTTTAACTGCTTTTTCTGCTCAGGTACTGCCAGACCTGCTGAGTTTTTCAGCAATTTGTCTTTGTGTGTGGGTGAATATCTTGCCTGTCTGACTGTTCTACCACACGTTTGCTTTGGACAATTGATTTTGATTGGAGTTTATTTATTGACGTGACTTGTTAGAAAATACAGTGAAAAGTGTTGTATCGTGTCAGCACTCTCTGGCACTATCTTAAAGCACACAAAAATAAACTAAAACATAGAATATAAAGACAGAAGAATAAGGAATTATACTGCGTATTGTACTATGAAGATAAGGGAGCCAAGGGTTATTGTTGGGGTTGCGGTGGGGGGGTTGTGGGGACAGTGAGCAGAGGGGGAGTGCAGTCAGGAAAATGCAGTTGAGGGCTCAACCAGATCAGCCATGATCTTTTCAAATGGTGGAACAGGCTCAAAGGGTTGACCAGCTTACTCCCAAGTCCTACCTATGCTCCTATGTCCCTACGTAGGTCAGATCAGTGTGTACAAAATACAGCAGCTGTTCTAACATTTTGAGCTAACATTTTAATAACCAGGTAATTGATCAGTTAATATATTTGCAATTTCCAAGATCTGGCAATGGCTGCTACCCACACAACAGTTGTACTCTGGAAGGAAATTATTTGCTTGTGAAGCATTTTGGGGGTAATCTGACAGATATAGTATAATTTTTTAATTTTTTTCTTTGATTTGCAAGACTTCAGAGAACTTTAAGAGGAATGTCTCTGAATGCAAATCATGGAGATAGACCTACAGCCGTAATATTTCCTGTGCATTGATAGCTAGACTGATACAGTTGGGGATTTAGGCAGTGGGTGTGTTTACAGATCCTTTAAGGGGTAGCAATTAATGTGATAGACTTTAAAAATTAGCTTGAAGGAGAGCAGCTCTGATCTTGAGCCAGTGACTTCAAATTAAATAAGGCACTTAGAGAGATATAAAAAAAGAGATATCTAAAGTGACCTGTGGAAATAGACTAAGGGCAAAATCATTTGATGATCAGTGGCAGACATTTAAGCAGATATTTCATAACATTCAGAATAAGAAGTTAATGACAAGAAAGGACTACCTATGGTTAGCAAAGGCAGTCAAGGACAGTAGCCAGTCAAAAACAAACAAATGCAAAGTGTTTGAAAACTAGTGGTAGGACACAGGGGGTTTGGCATTTTTTTAGATACCAGCTGCAGTTGATTAAAAGGCTAATTGGGTAAGTATTGATTATGAAAATAAATTGGCAATAAATATTTTTTAAAAAGCTTCCACGGGTATATAGAGAGTGGCTAAAGTAAGTTTGGGACCCTTAGAAGACGCAACTGGGGAATTTATTACAGGAGTCGGTGTAATGCGTCCAAGTTTGCTGACAATACAAAAATAAGTGGAAGGGCGCATAGTTATAATATTAAAGACTCTGCATAGGGGTATTGACAGGTTGAGTGGGCAAAAACTTGATAGATGTAGTTTAGTAGAGTGGAATGTTAGGTCATGACTTCAATAGAATCAAAAGTCAAGACTTTTACTTAAATGGAGAGACTCCAGAAAAGTGCAGTGCAGGGCAATTTAGAGTCATAGTCATAGAGATATACAGCATGGAAACAGACCCTGCGGTCCTTCTCATCCATGCTGACCAGATATCCTAAATAAATCTAGTCCCATTTGCTAGCATTTGGACCATATCCCTCTTAAACCCTTCCTTTTCATTTACCCATCCAGATGCCTTTTAAATGTTGTAATTATACCAGCCTCCACCACCACCTCTGGCAGCTCATTCCAAACACGCACCACCCTCTGCATGAAAAAGGTGCCCCTTCGATCCTTTTAAATCTTCCCCCATCACCTTAAACCTATGCCCTCTAGTTTTCTAGGGAAAAGATCTTGGTTACTTACCCTATCCATGCCCCTCATGATTTTATAAACCTCTATAAGGTCACTTCTCAGCCTCAAACGCTTCAGGAAAAATACCCTAGTCTATTCACTCTCTCCCGATAGCTCAAACCCTCTAATCCCGGCAACAACTTTGTAAATCTTTTCTGAATCCTTTCAAGTTTCACAACATCCTTCCTAAAGCCAGGGAGATCAGAATTGCATCAGAGATAGTAGGAACTGCAGATGCTGGAGAATCCGAGACAACAAGGTGCAGGGCTGGATGAACACAGCAGGCCAAGCAGCATCATAGGAGCAGAGAGGC